ATTACAAGAGTTCGGTTGGTTTAGTGAAATGGAGATAGGGAGACAAAAGTGTTAGCCCACTGTAGAAACATTCAGGAGAAACTGTCAAGGAAGAAGAATAATTCTTTTTCTTCAATGATAATGCAGGTATGATATAAAATGCATATAAATTGCACATTAACAAACTCAGGCTCAGAAGTTACAAGAACAGTTCAATCTGTAAAAAAAAAAAAAAAAAAATTAAAAAAAAAATCTGGAATAACTTTCCAGATAATATAGTGGCAACTGAAATTGCTCCTAGGTGGAGTTAGCAGGTGTGGAGAATGACCATATTGCTGAGAATACAAGCTTGTGAGGTTGGTCCTTTAGTGTCTGGTTCATTGATACCTTAAAGACAGATTGAGACAATGCCCAGCCGCTGCTTCTTGCTCACATCTGTTTGCCCAGTACTTAAATGAAATCAGATGCTTCCCTTATCATCAGGAGCTCTGCTGGTTGTCTGCAGGGAACAGATAGGTTGTTTCACTGCCTTGAGTGGGGGTTGGGGGAGGTCAGATCCATATCCTGCTTGCTGCTGTAGCCTGACTGAAGAGGGTTTACTGGTGCTCCTTGTAGTGTTGTCGGTCTACTTATATTGTCAGGGGAGTGGGAGCTGCTATCCCCTTCTTGTGGTAGAGCCCATACTTTTTGGGGGGAATTTCACCTGTAAAGGAGAGTTAGTCAGACCTGCAAATAATTGCAGGGACTTGGGACACTATCAGTGCCTGTTGTCTCTCTTGTGCCACATTGTAATTGTGACTCCTTTATTGTATTTAAGGTTTGCTGAGGGCATAGGATAGTCTTGTCCACTTCTGAGCTCAGAAGTGCTCCATGCAAATAAGTTCCTCTGGGATTTTAGTAAGCCTGAACTGTAGCAAGTTTGCAGGCAACACAAAACTGTGAGGAGCTGTTGACTCCCTCAAAGGCAGGGAGGCTCTGCAGAGAGACCCCGACAAATTAGAGGACTGGGCAAACACCAACCATGTGAAGTTCAGCAAGGGAAAGTGCCAGATTCTGTATCTGGGATGGGGCAACCCTGGATATACATACAGAGGGGGGAATGAGGTCGATGGTCGATGGCAAGTTGAATATGAGTCAGCAGTGCCCTGGCAGCCAGGAGGGCCAACTGTGTCCGGGGGGGCCTCAGGCAAAGCGTCGCCAGCTGGTTGAGGGAGGGGATTGTCCCGCTCTGCTCTGCACTGGTGCAGCCTCACCTTGAATACTGTGTGCAGTTTTGGGCACTACAATGTAAGGATACAAAACTCTTAGAGAGCGTCCACAGGAGGGCAGCAAAGATGGTGAAGGGCTTTGAGGGGAAGACATATAAGGAGCAACTGAGGTCATTTGGTGTGTTTGTCCTTGAGAAGAAGAGACTGAGGGGACACCTCACTGCAGTTACATCTTTCTCCTGAGGAGAATCAGAGGGGCAGGCACTGATCTCTTCTCTGTGGTGACCAGTGACAGGACCCGAGGGAAGGGCCTGAAGTTGTGTCAGGGAAAGTTTAGGTTGGATATTAGAAAAAGGTTCTTCACTCAGAGGGTGTTTGGGCACTGGAACAGGTTCCCCAGGGAAGTGTCATGGTGCCAAGCCTGCCACAGTTCAAGAACTGTTTGGACAATGCTCTCAGGCACATGATGTGACTCTTGGGGATGATCCTGTGCAGGACTAAGGATTGGACCCGAAGATCCTTGTGGGTCCCTTCCAACTCAGCATATTCTGTGATTCTGTGATTCATATGGTTGGTCAGTTCCTTTTTGTATGCTGTCTTCAACTGATGCATCACAAAACATAGCACAGCTCATTAAGGAGGGTAAGATTGGAGGCTGCATGGGCTGTACTGTCCATACCCTGGTTTAGTTTGTGATCTCAAGCAACAATGGCAAAGAGCAACATCAGGACCTTAAACTTCAGAAGAACAAAATTCCAGCTGTTTAAAATATTAGTGGATGAGATCCCCTGGGAAACTGTCCTTAGGGAGAGAGGAGCTGACCAGAGCTGGCAGCTCTTTACAGACACTTTACTTAGAGTACAAGAGTTCTCCATTTCAGTGTATAGGAAATCAAGCCAGGCAGGCATGGCTGAGCACAGATCTGCCTCTCAAACTGAGGAGCAAGAAAGAAATTCGGAGTCTGTGGAAGGCAGGGACATGTGGCCTGGAAAAGAGTACAGGTGTACAGTTCAGATGTGTCCCTACACATGCGATCAGGAAAGCTAAGGCACAGATGGAATGGGATTTGGCAAGAGATGTGAAAAATAACAAAAAGGGCTTCTATAAGTACATAGGTAAAAGAAGAAAGGCCAAGGATAGTCTACCCCGCCTGATAAAAGAGAAAGGAGAACTCGTAACAACAGATATGGAGAAGGCCAAGGTACTCAGTGAGTCCTTTCTACTGTAATGAAGAGCAGGTTCAAGGCCACCTGATGAAACCGAATAGGCACAAGTCTATAGGGCCTGATGAGATGCATCCAGGGTCCTGAGGGAACTGGCTGATGTGGTTGCCAAGTCACTCCATCACATTTGAAAATTCATGATGGTCAGGACAAGTCCCTGGTACCTGGAAAAAGGGAAACATCACTCCCATTTTTAAGAAGGGGAGAAAGGAAGACCCAGGGAAGTACACACCAGTGAGCCTCCCGTCTGTGCCTGGAAAGATCATGGAGCAGATCCTCATGGAAGCAATATTAAGATGCATACAAGACAAGGAGGTGATCCAAGACAGGCCAGCATGACTTCACTAAGGACAAATCGTGCCTGCCCAATCTGGTGCCCTTCTACGATGGAGTGACTGCAGCAGTTGACATGGAAGACCAACTGATGTCATCTACCTAGACTTCTTTAAGACCTTTGACATGGTCCCATATGACATCCTAACCTCTAAATTGAAGAGAGATGGATTTAAACAGTGGACTATTCAGTGGATTGGGATGTATTAGCTGGATGGATGCAGCCATAGGATTGTGGTCAATGGCACTACACCCAGGTGGAGGCTGGAGACAAGTGGTGTCCCTCACGGCTCTGTCTTGCGACTGGTGCTCTATAATATCTTCATCAATGGCATAGACAGCGAGATTGAGTGCGTCTTCAGCAAGTTTGCAGGTGACACAAAGCTGAGCAGTGCAGTTGACACAACAGAAAGATGGGATGCCATCCAGAGGGGCCTGGATAAGCTTGCGAAGTGGACCCATGGGAACGTCATCAAGTTCACCAGGTCGAAGTGTAAGGTCCTGCACTTGGGTTGGGGCAATCCCAGACCTGAGTACAGACTGGGAGATGAGCTCATCATGAGCAGCTGTGCAGAAAAGGACTGCAGGGTTCTTGTGGATGAAAAGCTGGACAGGATCCAGCAACATGCGCTTGCAGCCCAGAAAACCAACCACATCCTGGGCTGCATCAAAAACAGCATGGCCAGCAGGTTGAGGGACAAGATTCTGCCCCGCTACTTTATTCTTGGGAGACCCTACTTGAAACGGAGCATCAGCACAAGAAGGACTTGGACCTGCTGGAGTGAGTCCAGAGGAGGGACACAAAGATGATCAGAGGGCTGGAGCACTTCTCCTGTGACAACAGGCTGAGAGAGGTGGAACTGTTCAGCCTGGAGAAGAGAAGGTTCCAAGGAGACCTTATTGCAGCATTCCGGTACTTAAGGAGGGGCTTATAAAAGAGAGGGAGAGCAACTTTTTACAGGGGCAGGTAGTGATAGGACAAGGGGTAATGGTAATTAGGACAAGGGGTAATGGTAATTAGGACTAGGTGCAAAGAATTTTTTTACAATGAAGGTGATGAGGCAGTGGAACAGGTTGCCCAGAGAAGTTGTGGGTTCCCCATCTATGGAAGTGTTCGGGCCAGGTTAGACAGGGCTTTGAGCAACCTGGTCTAGTGGGTGTCATCCCTGTCCATGGCGGGGGAATGTGAACTGGTTATTTTTACGGTGCTTCCAGTCCAGGCAAGTCTGATTCTATAGAATATTACTGAAGCTATTAGTCCACTGTATGCAAATGCAAATATTTCTCAGTAAATTGACTGTATGCTGAGAAGGGCTTGGTGTTATGTCTGCACCCAGACATGGCATCATTAGGTTGTGCTGCACACTGTTGTAACTTGGTATGGACTTGCTAAATTGCCTCCAAGTGTCTTTGCTGATTGCCTTTGATTTTGGACAACTCAAGTCAACTGGCTTGTACAGACCATTATGTTTCATTTTAAGCTTAACTTTCTGAATATGTGATTTAACTAAATTTTGCTGCCCTGTCACATTGTATTTTCATAACAGGCCTTAGCTTCTACTGAACAGTGATAAGTTTTCCACTTGTATCATTTTCATGCAAGCAACAGAGAGGCTGCATACATGTAGAGGATTAATCCTAGAGAACTTGATGCTCTTTATAAGGTAGCAACAACTTTCATAATACTTGGTGGGCCCTGAAAACCTAATGAATTAGCTGATGGACCTTAAAGACTCACTTCTCTGCTCCTGGCCACCAATCAGTTTGTGTGATCACTAGCAGGTGACAGTCCCTTGGTTACAGGCACTCTGAATACCACTTCCTTCTCCAAGACATTGCTTGTCTCTGGCATGAGCAAGACCCTCCTCTGTCTTTTTTTGAGTGATGTTTCAGTTTTGTATATTACATGTGTGAGGTACCATCTCCTTTCTAACTAGTGCTTGCATAAATGTAACTGTATGCTGAGGTGAGAGAGAAGCAAATGGGAGACAAGTTACATGGAACCACTAGAGTAATATCTGACTTAAGTTATGTTGTTTTCTATCACACAGAAAACTTCTTGGGACATTACATAACCATGTAATTGCAGTGTAGCACAAGAAGGAAAAACATTCTGCAGCCTCAGTGGAGATAAAAAAGAAAATGGAGTAAAGTTCACGTCAGTTCTATTGTATATATCTCAGTGTTATCTTTCTCTAGGCTTCTCAAACCCTGTGGTCTAGGTGTTTAATGCTTTCTTCTTTGTTTGTTTGTTAAGGTTCTGATATTGTGCAGTGGCTTATGAGGAACCTCAGCATTGAGGATACAGGTAAGGTGACCACAGTTGAGGAGGAGCAGGTACTCCATCTATATTGTGTGTGCTATTAGACAATAATTACTATTTTGTTGCAGTATACAATACCAGTAGAACAACACAATTGATTTAAACACTGGAGGGAAGGAAGAGGGAAAGAGTTAGGACTCATTATCTTAATGAAGTGTACATTGCAGCACAGAGAAATATCATTGTAGGAGTTTTAGCTTGTCTGTGAAACTGTTGCTACCTAGGGAAGACTGATTGATTTTAAATTTGTTCGCAGAGTTAGAAAGGAAGTTGGTGTATGTGTGTGGTTAAGCAGGCAAATGCAGTAGCAGGTTTTCATGGTGAGAAGAAAGGGAGCCATGACTGGTGGGACATGCTGGCCAAGGATGACACAGACACCGTCATGGGATCAGGTGACAACCTCCAATTTATCGCAGCAGATAGGTAAATCAACAGATAGATAAATGGATAATGAGCCAAAAAGAGTGATCGGTGCGTGGGCACAGTCCAAATAGTTCACTCTTCAGAGAAAACAAAATAATTTTGACTCAGTTATGATCTTTTGAGAAAAGAGGAAAAAAAGATCTGCAGATCCAGAAGTTTCTTTTTCTTTTCAGGAAAGGGAAAAAATCCAGAATGTCAGCTACCAGTTTTTTTGCTGCCTTACTGTCACCATGTGAAAGCAGAGATAGAGTGTTGTATCATCCAGCAGGACATCCCTATAAACACATCCCTTCTCATGACTCCTGTCAGGTCCCAAATATGAATTTCAGCTGCAAACAATAGCTTTATTATCTACCTGGGGGTGCATGAGCAGCTGATGTGTATTTTTCAGTTCTGAGAAAGTTGATGCAGCTTTTGACAGCTGGCATTGGTTGAAAATCTGTGCAGCTATGCCTGTGTGCTGGTGAAGGTTGCCCTGGCAGCTCTAGGAAATGTATTCTCCTTTGCCTCTGCACCAGTTTTTCTCTAACAAGTGGCAATGCTACAGTGTCAGGATGTGTCATTATGAATAAATATCCTGCTAATGACCTGATGTTGCAGGTGTTTGTTGGATTTGTTAGAGGCAAGTGAGGTTCACTGATGGAACAGGCTTCTTGTCAGCTGTCACCTGTGGTGGATAATGTGCTTTGAAATTAATTTCATGTTCTAGAGCTGAACTAGTGTGTGACATTTTGTGAACGCAAAACTAGCAAGTTAAACTTTTGAGTGGTGCTTCATCTGTGTTGTAAAGCTGAATTCTGCACTCCTGCTTTGCGTGGTTTGGTTGGAAGTAGTAAGGATGGGGTGTGTGTGCAGAGAGGCATGTGGGCACCAGATTTCACAAGTCATCACCAGAGCTGCTGTTGAAAGCAGAGAAATGTGCAGTGCACGCCTTCCTGATACTTCCCTGCATTTTTCTCTCTTTCACAGGGGAAGCAATACACTTGGGAAGTCTCATTGCTGCACAAGGTTATGTCTTTCCAATTTCAGACCATGTCCTTACCCTGAAAGATGATGGGACGTTCTATCGTTTTCAGGTTGGTGAGCCCTCTGACTCCCTTGTGGCCCCTTCCACTGTCCCGGCGGTAATACAGCTGACAGTGCCCACCCTTTATTCCTGAGCAACCACTAGGTCTATGAAGCCAGGGATTGCGGCTATCTTGGTAGACGCCTTAGGAAGTTATGAAGTCTTTTCAAAAAGATCTGCTTTAAAATCGCAAATTACACTCTACTACTTTCTTACCTACAGTTTTTACATAAATTAATGGGTATGTCCTGTGATTATTTTTGATACGTTATTTCAAGGCTGTTGTACTCAGATTTGAACTAAGCCAGGAGAAAGAAAATGTCTTTCAGGCTCTAACTCTGGCACAGAATTGAGTAGCCATTCTTCTGTGCAAAATGGAGGGCAAACTTAGGAGTTGGACATTCAAGCTTTGGCACAGCAGAAAATTCCAAGTTTTACCCTCTCTTGCTTGCAGATTGGTGTGGGAGGGGGCAAGCTTCAGACTTTGGCTCTTTACAAAGGATGTGTAACCTTGGCAGTCACCTAAACTGGGACATCTATATCCCTCAGTGTCCCTGTGCCTCCAGATGTGCTGAATTTTTAAAGCATCCTGTGCTTGAGTTCTATGCCCTGTCCAAAGTCTGCCACTGTCAGCTTCTTAGATAACTGAGTGCTTGTGCTGCAACAACTCCTTTTGGACAGATTGTATAACTTTAGAAGAAGCGGTAAGTCCAAACCTGGAGTCCTACTGCCTAATGCTACTGTCTGAATTTGTGTTTTTCTGTTACATGATCTCAGCCAGATCCCTTATCTTTCCTGTGACCTCTTTTCTGTTCACCCTGCTGTTCCTCCTTTACATTTTTCCCTCTTTTTTAGCTTTTATTTGAAAAGCTGGTTCTGCACTTTGCATCTGATGTTGCTGCTGCTTGTTCTCACTGTCCTGCTAATGTGGTATTGTATTATCATATGTGACCAATATCTTGGTGAACAAAGAAGCCCAGGAGATCACAGACCTCCTCTTATCTCACCCCACCTTCTGGTTACCACACATCATTCAGACACAAATTTTTCATTGCAATTCCTTTTCTTTTCTGAAAGTTCTGCTTTCCTGTCGTGTAAGATGTGACAGAAGCAGGGGCAATACTGATTGCCCATTTAACTGTATTTTTCTCTTTTTTAAAAGGATGACACTGTAAGAAGTTGTTCCTGTGCAGCTCTTAGGAGCTACATTTCAATATAATATAATTTCCTTTTCTTGTTTTAAGTCTGTGTAAACCACATCATCAAACTGACTGCTTGTTGACTTTTTTCCTTATCTTTTCTTACAACTTTTGCATATTCCTTGCTTGTTGACATTTCTTGCAACAGACCTCCTCAGATGTTTTCTGCAAAAGTAACCTGATAGAATCACGTTTCCTTTCCACTACTCTCATCTTGCTACTTTGTACCTCAACATCAGTCTCTCCTTTAACAGTAGCTCTTCATATTCTGAAGTTCATAAGATATATATAATTGAGGAGTATTAAACCCTGTATTATTTGAATACTCCGTGTTTTCTCACTGTACTTTGGTGCAAGGAATAGTCTATGTGTTAATGTCCTATGCCCATCTGTGGCTTTACATCAGTAGTGCAAAGCAGTGTTGTATAATTTGTGTGATCACTGGGACATTATTTTTCATTTATGTTAAATCTGAAATACAGCCACATACAGTAATATCTTGTAATTAATTGTAGCAACGGCAATATGCAGACCTGGTAGAAAACAAAAGCAGTAAGCTTAGCAGGACTTCTGCTTTTGGAATGACTCTAAACAGCTAAGTTTTGACCTCTGCCATCTGCTATAATTAAAAAGTAAATTGTTTTGTAGTCTGCCAACCATACTGGTAACTGCTCCAAAAAAGCAAGTGCTATGTAGCATAAAGATAAGGCCATGAGGTTTGTCATGCTTTAAGAAAAAATAAAAATTCAGGATGTGAATTTCTGGGGAAAGAGAAGGTTCTTAAGTATAGAGGATAAGAGGTCCACATTCAAATGAGCTGGCAACACGGTCTAAAATTTTGTCAGGACACTGGACATTCTCCTCAAGAGATGCTTGTATTACAGCATCTCTGTTTACCTGCAGTGAGGAATGTTAAAAGTCATACCTTTCTGGAAAAGCATCCTCACTAATACGGAGATCTGTAGCAGTGTTTTCCCCTGAGGGCAGAGACTGTGTGGTTGACTTTGTGATTCTTCTTTTTGTACTTGTAATGTTTTTCTGCGTTTGAATTGCTTTTCATCTCTTAAATTGCAAAAATGTCTATGTTTTTTCTTAGGCACCATACTTTTGGCCCTCAAATTGCTGGGAACCAGAAAACACAGATTATGGTGAGTATAATTATTTCATTGTAGAAAGTTAGTACAGAAAGTCTGTGATGGGAAAAAGTGTCCTTAAAATAATTACTGCTTGCCATCTAAACCCTTCATCCACATAGCTGTCAGATGGCAGCATTAGAGGCAGATATGTGCCCATCTCAAATACATGAATTGAAATCCTGGAGTGTCTCAAGCCCATGGAGCTGTAGCCATTGAACTCAGTGGGGCCAGAATTTTACCCGTCGTTACTTACCTTCATTCTCCCATAGCTCTGTTCATTTCAGCAGGATTTTTGGCAAGCAGAATACTGGTTCTTGGGAATCTTAAATAATACCAATACTGCTTTTGTGGGAGAATATACTGTAGCTGAATCTGATGTGTTGATCAATAAAATTTACTTCATCTGGGCACTTGTCTCACTGCTCAATAAACCAGTATATAATTATTGGCAACCTATAGTTAAAATAGTTAAAAGTTCTCTGATATATGACATCGGACTTATTTTTCCAAATTTTTTAAGATTAGCAGATGATAGGGTAAAAGAGAAGACTAAGCATAGTTTATGAGCTAATAAACTGCAACATGGTGTGTTAAGCATGTGAGTGCCTGCAGACAGTGATAATACATAAAGAAAATATGTCAGTGTTGTTATCTTTAGCTGTCTGCATGCAATATTGCTGTCTCTTCCAGAACTGCATTTCTTTCACAGTTAAATGATAAAATTAATTATTGTATCCTGGTGTGGCTTTGGAAGAGGAAGTGTATCCTTGTGTGCACTCATAAAACAGAAGCTTCTGGAAGTCCTTCTTTTATCTCATTACCTAAGATTGGTTTAGAACGCCTCCCTGAATAATCAGTTTGTTTTTTTTCTTTCCTGGGTTATAATTAATCATCATTATGGATTCTGGAAATCGTTTGCTAGGGTGAAGAAGTAGTCTGCTATGGTATGTGTCAGGACAGTTCATTTGCAGTCCTCATCTGCGGGGAAGCTAGCAGAGACTTACGTGTTTATCCCAGTGAGGGAACTGCTTTGGAGAAAACATGATGCTGTTCAGTATATGCAAAATAATTTCCAGATTTTACAGTCATCACACATATATCGCTGTGTGAACTGTGCCAAATACGTATTCTGTAAATACCAGAATAACAATGTGAAAAGGGAAGTTTCTTTTTTTTCCCTACAATGTCAGATAAATAATTGGTTTTGCAGTCAGATTATTGTGCTGCAGTGGTATTGACTGGAGCAGTACACCCCAAAATAAAACCCTATATGAGCTGACCCACAGCTGGACAAGCTTCAACTGCATTAGCTCTGAGCCCTGTAGTAACAGATTTGCATCTGTCCCAGAAACCTCTAACATATGCTTATAATCAGACTTTGCATATCGGAGGTCTGTACAGATGGAGTCTTCACAGGAATTAATCCCAAACTAGCAGTGGACCCAAATAAAACTCAAATCCCAGCAGCACTTCATACTTTTTTTATTTGCATGTGTCCACTTACAGGACAGGAACTAGCCTGCTAATGGCAGGTCACTGCCTCGCATGAAACAATACTGTGCAACAACTGACTCTCACTTTATTTGGTGTCATAAAGGGCTTACAGCGAAAACTGCCCTTGAGAGGTATAAATACAAATGAACTGGTTGGCTCTGGTTACCATGCATGATACTGGCTCGTTGTATGAATGTTAAAATTATAGAAATAGCATAGAATAGAACTACATGAGTAGCGCTAGGACTCTTGTATAGTTCAGACCTAATTATATACCCAGGGTGTGCTGTGGACCTTGTGTTTCAACCTGTGATGGAAATGGAGTGAATTTAGCAGATCCAGGTGAGACTTTCCCAGAAGGCAACCTGGGACTGGTTTGGTCTTCTGCACTGGGCTCATCTTGACCCTCAAAATCCCAAACCACATGAGTTTCAGCAGCATCTCATCTGCCTACGGTGAAATGTGACAAGCCTTCTCTTAACTGTTTGAAATGTGTAGAATAAGTGGATGGAGCATATTAAAAAATGCCAGGATATACCTTTAGGGTCTGGCCCATATTTCTGTTTTCATTTTAATGTCCTTCATTCTTATTTTTATTTTTACTACAAAAGCAGAAAAGAAGTGCAGGTGTATTCCCAAAGTCCTGAGAGGAACAGGTTGCTAATTCTGTGTCTTTTACCAGCCCCAGAAGCAACTGTACCTCTTTTGGACATCTTGTTAGGTCCTGGCATCTGCTCTTAGCACTTTTAAATGAGATGTCCAAGATGTTTAGGGCCTCTGAGATTACTAGTGGGTGATGTCAACTGCATGTTCAACCCTCTCATTCCTTGACTCGTGTTGCTTTCTGATGAAAATGAACAATCTGTGGACCGTTTTTTTCTTCTTTTTTTATAATATCTAGTACTAATAATCTGTCTGTAATTGTTTTCCATTCTGTTTCTCCCTTTAGCCATCTATCTTTGCAAACGGACCATGCAGAACAAAGCTAGGCTGGAGCTGGCGGATTATGAAGCCGTAGGTACACTGCTGCTAGAGTTTACAGCTGGGACTTGCAGGGATGGCTTTGCTTGCCAATTGAATGCTGCCATTTTGTGCCTTGGGGTCAGCCTTTACCGTGTCTTTTTCTTAATTGAGAGAATTGTGTGAAGGTTGATACAGAGACAACATCAGGAACATTACTGATGAACGTCCGTGGCTTTGCGGTGTATCAAATTAAAGCATCTGCTGTATAGCCAGCTCTCCAGGATTGGGGCAAATTACACAGAAGTTTAGCTTGGTGTCCTGTTTCTGGTTAAGAAATGATGGTTTATATAGCAGATTTTAACACATGGAAATGGTGGATTTCCAGTTGCACCATTGGCCAGTTAAATTGTTCATGATCCATCTAGTTACAAAAGTCTTCAGATATTAGACTTGGAACAATATGCCACGTAAAAAGTATTACTCAAGTTTATTCAGAATGTGTTCTCTGATATGAAATTATTATCGATAAAAATATCCCCAACCTAGGTGTCAGACTGTGCAGGGGTTGGGCAAAGAGGAGTGGGAAGATGGAGACAGGAGGGGCAGGGCTGTGTATTTCTTTGAATACCAGCAGTGTAACACTCTGAGCAGCTGAACTTTTATTTCTACCATATTGACTTTTTTCTGTTTACTAGCTCAACAGTGTAACAGCTGAAATTCATATTTGGAGTTTTTCGTTGGAAGGTTTGTTTACAAAGCTGGTTCTAGTGGACTTCTGTGGTCATATTTCTTACAGTGAAAACATATAGCATATATTTTGAGGGTGGACTTTTTCCGAAGAATAAAGTTTTTCCTTATGCCTTGCCTTCTACATTTTGGGACTTTTGTGGATGTGGAGAGATATACACATGCCATTTGGTTCTTTCAGTGCAGAGCATGCAAAAATTGCCACTTATCTAGTCCACTGTGGAAGTGGACTAGTTCCCAAGAGTTCTAATCTTGAACAGGCATAAAGGAAGGAATATAATAATCTGCGTGCACTTACATGTCCTTTTGCTGAGTTTTCTCTTCTGCATATTACTGATTTCATTATTAAAATCATTAAAATTGCTCACATCCAACCAATTAACTGTAAGTGCTCTAAAGATCTATCAAAAGGCAACAAAAGGCTGTTCAGCAGCGCACATACTCCCACACACATGCAGCGAGGCTATGGCTAAGTACTTTTGCACATTGTTGCCTACTGAGAGTAGCAGTGCTCCAGTGATGGTAAATAATTAGATCTTGGCAGTCTCTCATTTTTCTTGTGAATATTGCATTGCACAATTAGAGATTACTTCTGCATTCAAACTTTGTTCTCTTAATTAGAGACATTCAGATAAGAATGGCACCGACTCTTCCTATTCATTATGGGAGCTGAAGCACATCCAGCAATGGAGATGTAAGCTAAGCACAAGTGAGAGAAACAAGCTTGCAGGAGTGAGACGGAGCCCTGTACATTTAGTACACATTTTTGGAGATGCAGCATGAAAATGCTTCTCCATAGGTATCAGCAATGACCTGGAGCTTTGAAAGAGAATCTCTACAAAGCATCTCAGAGGACATCTCATTTTTAGGTTCTGCTTGCAGCATTTACAGGCAACACCCAACCCCCATGTATACTAGGTAGAACAGGGGTCTCGATGATATGATTAAGCTTGTATAATTGCATTCAGTTTTGTTTATAATTGGTCAAACATAAACATGATTCAAATATTACTTCAATTGGTGATCTTTCATTGGCTGCAGCATATTTACTCCAGGGAGCTCACGTGAACAAAATTTAAAACAAAATTATAAAAACCACCCACAAAAATTGGTGTTACAGATAATTACAAGTAGTTCTTCCTTGTAGCTACAGTTAAGGAAATCATAGTTCAGCAATCTGTAAATCATTTACTTAACTGTTTTCCTCCATGTGTACAGACTGGAACTGTTACATGGCCTTTGTGGTAACAGGGCCAAGCTTTATGCCTTGTGTTATACAAGAATTTAAATAATAGGAAGAATTCTTTTCGTATTGAAATGCATGTGCCTAAGCAGTTCCTTAAAGTAAAGGTGATAAGTATAAAAAGAACAGCAGTAGAACTACAAGTGTCCAATTTCAGTGTAAATTTGCAATAGTTAAACCAGCTATAATGGAGAAGAGTGTCAAGTTAATGGTTTCACGGGCCTCTTTGTTGGGGCGGGTGTGCATATGTGAACTTGGGGTGCCATTTAAGCCTGAAATTCTGGCCATGCCCCGAGTTTAACCTTGAACTGTGATGAAGTCACATCCACATCCAAATGTTCAGATCACTACACTTTCTGTAATGGGTCTGGACCAGAGCTCTTACCTCAGATGTAAAGCAAGACTGCATGTGGATCCAGTCTTTGCAGTAACTGTTCAGACAAACAAGCTGTTTCCTTTTGTGAATCATGCTGGCAGTCTCCAGCCTTCAGTGCTGTGCAGCTATGTAATGCTCTCAGCGGTGACCAGGACTGAGCAAAGCAAGGGATGCTCTGGCTTTGCACCTTAGCAAAAGCCTGAAGAGAAGAGAGCAGTGGGATGAGGAAGGGAAAGTGAGGATGAGAGGGAAATGTGCAGGTGGCAGCCATCTGGTATTAGAAATGAAAAGTTGTCAGTTTCACAAAGCTGCTCAGTGTTATCTTTTGGGAACGAGTCCATTTTTTTCATAGTAGAGCTCAAACTGTCTTCATCACACTCCGTTACTTATCCCTGACAGGGTCCTTTGGGCTGCAGCCTGAAAAGATGTGTTACAGCCTTGCTTTGCCTGCAAGATAGCTGACCTGAAACCAACACTGACTTCCACGTCTTGAGTGTTACAGCTTAAAAAAAAAAAGAATAAAATAAATACCCAGCATGCTAACTGTGCTCTCAAGTAATTGTTGTAATTACAGAGATTTGTTGTTCTTACTATTTTCATCTTTTGTCAGGAAAACTTAGCAAGACTTCAGAGAGCGTTTGCAAGAAAGTGGGAATTCATCTTCATGCAAGCAGAGGCCCAAGTGAAGTGAGTAATCCCAGAGCACTGAACTGCACCAGTATTTAGAGCTGTGAAGGGAAGGGGATTCTGTACAAATAAAACTTCTTTGTCAAAATCTTTACTGTGACTAAGCTCAGAAGTTGGTGAATTTTAATCACTGGCAGACTAGAAAGAGTAGAGAGCCAATTCTGAAGGTCTGTGCCAGAATCTGAAATGTGGTTTCATTATCTGTACATGGAAATGTTGGTCAGGAGCTCCAGAGCCTGGATTCATCATGGGAGCTTGGGCTATTCACGTGCCCATTCTGCTTCTATATTTGTGTAGTATTTTCATTTTGTATAAATGGAAAGAACAGAATTTTGTCATCTGTCTGTGTTACTCTATGCTTGTAGAGTATTTCTGAGTAAAAAATTACTGTCACTTCAGCGTGATTATAAGGGTGATATTTACAGCAGACTGAATTTGATTTTCTCATTTACAGTAATCCCTAGTTGACTCTGTTGTATCTTTACTCTGTAGTTCAACTCATGCTACTAAATTAGCACAGAGAATTGGGTACCACTTACATGAAATCTACTCATATTTAGTATTTGGGTTTTTCCTATCCTCTGCTCATAATTGAAATCTACTTTTCTTCTCATCTTCCCTTATGGAAGCAGTTTGAAGCCTCTTAATATTTTGAGCATATATTCATTATTGCTGGAAAATGGGTATGGTCCAGGGTTTGTCTACTAGTGTCAACAAACTAGTATCTAAAACTCCTAAGTGTCCATTTTGTGCAGGTAGTTGTCACCTATAAAATAGAAGGGCTGGTGAAGATGGCACATGAGAACACCAGTACTGATACTCTGTACCACTAGAAGGAACTTGCACTTTCAGCATTAGATGCTAAAAAGTTAAGGAATATAATTTCTTGAGGGTGTGGCTTGAGATATACATCTCTATCTTGATTAAACCTTTGGAATTTTGATTAATTCTTTGCTTAGTAACATTATAATTGTGTTACATTTAAATACGTGATAGTTATCTTTAAAATTACAAGGTAGTTAAGGGATTTTTTCCAACCAGAATACAACTGTTCTGTTTGGAGGAGAAAATTAGAAGTTATGATACCAGTTGTACTTTCAGTTACTTAAAGGCTATTGCCAAGATGAAAAAAAAAGTCTTAAGACAAAATTCTGCATTCTGTCTAAAACATATAATTATTACCTAAGAAAGAAATGTAAATATCAGATTCTTTGTGATCACTGTTGCTTATTCATCTTTTCTCCATCCTGTTTTCTTTGAAACTTAAGCGTGAACTGGCAACTATCAACTTTTTTTGCTGGCTAGTTTCAGCTTCTGGTTTCCAGTTCATGTGATGGTTCAGTCTTCAGGTTTCCAAAAAGGAAGGGATGAAGTTCACAGTGAATTCACAGACCTAAGTTAACTTAAAAAAAGAAAAAGGAAAAAAACAAAACAAAACAAAAAACAAACAACCCCCCAAAACAAACAAACAAACAAACAAAACCCACAAAAAAACAAACAAAAAAAAAAAAAAAAAAAAAAAAAAAAAAAAAAAAAAAAAAAAAAAAAACATAAAAAAGCCCAAAACAAAATCCCCCAAAAAACATGAAAACATTCCTCCTGCTTACCAACTTTTGCATTGCCTTCAATGTCTTTGCACACAGTATTCCCATTGCTATACATAGATTGCTCAAAAACCACAGCCACAGAGCATCTAGCTGTTTTGGGTCTTCATAGTTTAAAATGTGAAATCCTGAGTTATCAGTAAGTTTGGAGATAAGAGTTGACGATCTGGGTTGAGCACAAAGTATCAGTGAAGAGAATTCATGAAGCCTCCAAAGAGTCCCTCCTGTTTGTATGTGCTGTGTGATATAAGGTTGGCAGAAGACTTCACCTTCTCCTTTGGCCAGGTGTGAAGGACTCACTCAGAAGTAGTTTTGGGCTGGGTATCCTCAGTACAGTACAACAACTGCTGTCTGGTGGCTGCTCTGTCTTTGTGCAGGGACAGAGCTTGTGCAGAACTTTTTTCTCACCTCAGCCTTGCAAAGGGGAAATTCAGTGAGTGATGCCAAACAGTGGAGGACTTGGGCTTTTTGTGGGGAGTAGTATTCAGGAACTTCAGTTTTAGTCCCCTGCTTCCTATCCTCTTGGTACATTTCTAGCACAGACTTAGCTAAGGGTCACTGCCCCTCCAAAAGAAAACAGGTGAGAGAGAACCTAGCATGGGTTTTTTTCCTTGCTGCTTTGATTTTCCTGGCTGGCAGCAATCTGGCAACCCAGCACAGGGATGCTGTGAACTTTTTACAGTCCTGCTCTAGAAGTGGAGGCTGTTCCTCCTTCCATGTGCCTCCTCCAAGTCTCTGTGCAGGTAGATCTTGCAAGCTGGTGGTGACCTTGTTGTGCTTATGTGTAGAGCTGCACACAGGAGTGAGGTGCCAGATGTGACTTGCTCACTGCTGCCAAGAGATAGGGGAACAGTTGCTTTGAACAACCTCTGGTGGCCTTTGAGTGAGTTGATTCACTGACTGCATCAGGACTCAAACTACTGAGTTACTGTTGTGCCAGCCCAGGCGCGTCTCTCTTGGGTGGGTGCTGGCTTGCACAGGGCCGTGCAGCAAGCTCAGCTCTGGTCACCTGTGCTTGTCACCCCTTGCTCTGCCAGCATTGGGGCACATTGGCAGAGCCAGTCTTGGTGTTGAAAGCTCTAAGGAGGAGTGGCCACAAGTGCTGCCCATGTTGTTGCTGCTGGGCATTCCACTGCTGCAGCATCCTTTGCAGTTTGCAGTCATGCCAGTGGTGCTACTGGGGCAGCGGGGTGCAATGGGATCTCCTGATGAGGACCTCAGTCCAGCACCAGTCAAGAGCCTCACCTGGAACAAACAGGTTCTGGTGGGTCTCCTGACACAGACAAAGCCACAGACTTCCCTAGCCTGTCAAATCAAGGTCTAGGGACAGAGTATCAGGAAAGGTTGTTTTCCTCAACAGATGAAAAAACAGGTGTTAAATTTTTCACATTAATTGGAGAATCTCTTTTGATCCATATTGGAGTAAACATCAGCGTTATTTTGTTCATGGCATGTGGCCTTGCAAGTGCGAGTGTGACATTGCTGTACAAAAAAAAAAGCTGATTCCTGAATTCTTTTGTTGTGGGGTTAAAAACCCCATCTAGGAACTGTATCAAAGAAGAAAGCATTGACTTTCATTGACTTTACATTGACTCATACATTTATGCTTTTTTTTCAGAATCGACAGGAAAAAGGATAAAACAGAAAGAAAGATTTTGGACAGCCAGGAAAGAGCATTCTGGGATGTGCACAGGCCTGTGGTAAAGCTCTTTTAAACAATGAGACTTTCCAGGTTTTGACGGGAAAGTTTTAATACTGGTAAACACTGTGCTATGCATGAAGACATCACCTTTAAAGTCATCGCGTGGATTTTCCTTGCAGTTCAAAACACACCAAACGTCTACAAGATTATTTTAGACATTCTGAGCTTGTGCATGTATGGAACTATTGATTTGGAAATATGTGAAGTTTGGAAAATTGTTTTCTGTGCTTATGAAAGAAAAGCAGCTTACCGAGTTTGGCTCAGGCTTCCTAGAAAAAGCTTCCCTCTTAGCTATTTCCTTTTGATGCCAAGGTTAGGAGTAAATGGATTGGATGCTGAGATGGCATTGGATATATGCAGTCTCTTGTTTAGCAAGAATAGTTTATGTGACACAAACCTCAGAAAAGAGTTTTGGACAAGATCTAATTGTATATTTTAGAAAGATAAGGTAGCATGAAGGTTGTAAACAGAGGAGTAACACAATTACCATCTCTTTTCAGCCAGGTTGTGTGAACACCACAGAAATGGACATTAGAAAATGTCGCCGTATGAAAAATCCACAAAAAGTGAAAAAGGTCAGTTTGAGTTCTTGGTTTTGGTTTTTGCTTGCTTGGAGTTTTTTTGATTCATTGGTTTTGGTTATTTTTTAATGTAAGTCATGCTCGACACCTTCAGTATATCAGATTTACCCAACAGGAACCCAAAAAAAGGTGTTTTGATAATATCAGTTCTGTTTGTTCTGCTTGATGAATAAATTATTTCAATTTTACCAGCAGAGTGGTACAGACTGGGTGATGGGTAGAACTGAAAAGGGCATTAAGGAACTCTATGTCCCCAAAGTCTGATGACTCTGCACTCCCATAAAATAAAGCAATTGGCAAAAGTACCTAAGTCCCATTTTCCGAAATTATCTGGGCACAGATAATGAACTGTTTATCTGCCTTAATCATGTCAGAGGCTGGATCATTAGCAACTTGGGTGTCTTTGACTTCCAGCAAGTTTAAGTTCTTCTGTGTATATAAAGTCAGAGAATCATTTAGGTCGAAGAAGACCTTTAAGATCAGTGACTCAAAACCTTAACCCAGCCAAGTCCACGACTAAACCATGTCCTTAAGCACCACATCTACATCTTTGGAATACCTCCAGGGATATTGACTCAACAGGGCAACCTGTTCCAGTGCTTGATAACTATTTCAATGAAGAAATTTTTTCAGATATCCAATTTAAACCTCCCCTGGTGCAACTTGAGTCTGTTTACTATTATTTCTTTTGTCACTTGGTTCATCAAAATGAACACACTCCCAGTGTTCATCCTGTGAGTGTTGACACACACAGCCTTCAGAGCTCCTAAAAATTATCAGCATTTTAACATTTAAAACAAACTCTTTTCTCAACATGCCTACAGACCTTCCAACTGCAGGCATCTGCAAGTATGGTCTGATCTGTAAATTTTGCTCCAGGCTGAATGATTATTGACCTGTGTGGGTATAAACAGTAGGAAATTGCTGGCTTATTACCTTACTGCTTTGCATACCACACTGTTCCTCATTGCATAACAGAGAAAAATGCTGTAATCCCTTCTGTATGTTTTTTTGGTTCCTCACAGTCGGTATATGGGGTTACAGAGGAGTCTCAGCCCCAAAGCCCTGTACACATGCCATCCCAGCCGGTACGCAAAACTACAAAGGAGGACTTCCGGAAGCAAGTAAGTGGGTGGCTGTATGGCAACTCTTCTGAGAACTGTTACCTGAAAAAAAAACATGTAAAGTTACGGAGATATCAGCAAAACCAACTGTATGCTTTATCTGTCCTTGATTTTCACTTACTTATGTAAAGTAGTAAGTATCCATTGAGCAGTGCAGTTATATGATGATATGTATTATGAGTAATACTGACCTTTGAATCTACTGTTACTCTGTCTGTGGACCAGTAAACAGATTACTTTCCAGTTCACTGAGGATGTCTGAAAAGTGAACAGTGACAAAGGTTAGGGAAGAAGCCAGCATGCTTAGGCACAGGCTGGGAACTGGTGGTGAGGAAAGGCATCGTTCAGTACATAACTGTTAGATTGTACAGTCAGAGCTTTTAGGGAACTGGGAAAAAGTTATTTGCACAATCATGGCTCACACATCCTTGCCCTGGCGCAGAGACCTCTCCCTCAGAGTTACTTTCCTCCAATAAGCAATCTTCACTGAAGGATAAACAGGAATTGCTGGATCAACATTTTAGTAAAGGCAACTTTAAACATGTTTATTAGGCAGACAGTTTTCGGGTGGTCTTCTGAACTAACCCAGAACACTAAATTTATTGAGCTTTTTTCTATCATAGACTGAAGAACTAGTTCATAGCAGAGTGCAAGTATGCTGTAAAACTGATTGGTTGTGTGGTGCTCGTCAGTTAGAGAAATGGGAGAGAGGAGTGTGATTGTAACAAGGGGATCATATTGCATCCTGAGTTGTCTAGGAACCTCAGCCCCAAATATGTGTGTTTCTTACTTTTAATTATGTCTTCTGAAGCTTCCCCTGGAGCTTTGCCTTTGGAAATAACTGCTCCTATAGGAATCAGTTAATAAGCTTCTTCTGATACCTAGGAAAGGGACCCATTTCCTTCTGAGTTACTTTCAAGCTGTTTGGAAAGAGAAATCAATAGCATGTTGGTATATTGTCAGTGCATGCTGTACAACTCATGGATTGTTAATGTCCTTGTCATCTCTCTCCTCAGATAACTTTTCTGAACATGCAGATAGAGAGACACTGTTTAAAGATGTCCAAAGTAGCAGAAAGGTGAGTGTCCCTATTTGCACAATTTCCCTTTCTTTCCTTATCTCCAGTGTGGCATTTCTAGAGACAGAGAGTAGGCAGGAAAGTACAAAGGCTGATCCCCTTTCTGTGCATCTATCCTCTCCCCTCCTTGACCCGCTGTGCTGTCTGCTGGCCACTGAAACTTCTGCACATGCTCCTCTACTACTGAGGAAAACTAGGTGGAAAATGAGTATGCTGTCATATTGCAAAAAACAAAAGAAGCATTCAAAAAAGAAAGAATCCTTGCAGGACTTTTGTTTCCCACCCCTTTGCAACTCTAGAGTTTATTTATAGAAAAGTCATTCCTGTTTCAATATGAAAATACCCTTTATTTTGTGGGGGAACTCTCAGTGCTTATCTCTTCTTAGTCTGGCACAGCTCTGAAGAAGGAGCTGTGTTTGCATCTGTTGCACATGGTTGTTCATGTCTGTGTTCATTCTGGAGTTGTAGGACCAGTTCCTCCTCCCACTTTCACATATATGAAACCTTATGAGAAGTACTGGGGATTGTACCTGGACTACTCAAGAAAGTGTTTTAAGAGGTGGATTTCTCTTAGAGGCAAATCAAGGCACAGTTTGACTTGCAGAATATTTAATTCTGCTAGAAGAGTATAAAGAGGTGAAGAACAAGCTCAAATTTCATTGACAAAGGCAGCTTCTTTACTTAGGTACTTGTAAGTTATGCACATTTTCAGGGTCATCACTGAGATGAAGGTAGGGATAGGCATGCTCTTCAGTGACATCGCTTTTAAAGCAAAACTGTGTTGAACATGAGGGATGTGATAAGGGCTGGTTCCTTCTAGAGGAATAATAGAGGAATTTTTATTTAAGCAAATTAAAAAGAGATTACTTTATGAAATGTGCTTTGCAGTGCCTGCACCTGTAGTTAGCATGTGTGTACTAAAGTAAATTAACAGTGGAAGCCCAACATAAGCTCCTAATGGCTCATAAAATATAGCAATTATAATGAAAATTTATCCAATTAAATAGAAAATATTCAGAGGCTCCTCAAAATCTTTCATATGCTATATTGTATGATTCAAATGAGCACACCTGTATTTATGTTTTGGGGTTTTGGATCTTTTTAATTAAGAACATACATTTGTGCTTTAACAAAAACATGTTTCAGATATTCATAGAATATTCTGAGTTCGAAGGGACCCACAAAGATTATCAAGTCCAGCTCTTGAATCCACAACCTTGGCATTATTAGCACCATGCTCTAACCAGCTGAACCAACCCACTCCCCCGAGTACTGAATTTACTTACAATAGCCTTAATATACCGAGACAGTAATACTTTCCAGGTTGGTAATTTATAAGCAAGCAGATCTGTTTTGCTTGATTTTTTTCTAGGTAGATCCATTGAGTAAGATGGACTCAATAAAACTCAGTCACTTGTGAAAATTGAATCCTGTCTGCATAAGACATCTTTTCTTCACATTTACAAGGAGCTACTGATATTATAAATGTAATGTTGTCAATGCAAAAAAAAAAAGAATCCTATTAGTTTTCAGTAAAACTGGACAGAAAATTTTCCTGATTTGAAAGGGCTTTTTTTTCCTTCTTTTAGTTGCTCCCAAATGGCACGAGAAAATGTTGCTATCAAAACCTGTGCAAACTGATAACCAGGAGAAAAGTAAATAAAATGAGAACAATCAAATTATAGAATCTTAGAACATCCTGAGTTGGAAGGGACCCACAAGGATCATCAAGTCCAACTCCTGGCCCTGCACAGGACAGCCCCAAGAGTCACACCATGTGTCTGAGGGCATTGTCCAAACAGTTCTTGAATTCTGGCAGGATTGGTGCCATGACTACTTCCCCTGGGAGCCTGTTCCAGTGCCCAACCACCCTCTGGGTGAAGAATGTTTTCCTAATATCCAGCCTAAATGAATATTTATATTTTTAAAGAATTATTAATAATTATAAAGAATTAAAATCATGGTTGTGATATTTATATCTTGTGAGGAGGTGTTCGGTTACGTGATGACTGAGTGGCAGTGTGGATGGAGGGTCCCGGGACTTGGTGCAGAGAGTGGTGGGAAGTGCAGTCTGGACATGGAGCATCACAGAGCAGGTGGGAGGGAAGTAGAGGGGCTAATGCTAATGAGTCCAGGGGTTTGGCAGGGCGGGGGGGAACCAGTGAGGAAGAATGAATGTGGATGACCTGAGCTGAACAATTGCCTGAAAAAAACCTGTGCGACCTGAAAGCCCCATTAAAACACTGAATACAAGCACTAGGAACAAATTTACTGTGTACGGAGATGCTGCTATTATCAAGTCACTTTTCAGGCTGGACCCTGCTCTTGGGACAGTTTAAGTGACAGTGTGGCAGATCAGAGAGCAGGAGGTGATGCTTCCTTCTACAGCCAAGACTGACAGTGTCACCACCTGCCATTTTTTCAGTATAGCTCCCCTTCAGGAAGGATAAGGGAAGAAACGAGGAGCAACTAAGGCAGGAAGTGCTAGAGGAAACAAGTCATAGCAATAAAATATGAATTGTTTCAATAGTAACAGACCAAATGTATTCATTTTCCATTAATGCACACTATTCTTGAGATAGCCCTTGTCCGTCAGAAGAGGAACAGAAAGGCTCTCCAAAGGATATCCCCAGCTTTCATGAAATAAATGCCCACTACTAAAGATTTTCTTCCCCTTCCTCTCTGTTCCCCTTCCAGGAGTAGATCTGCACCAGCTGTGGGAACAGGCATCCCTCAGCTGCTCCACACACCTTGCAAACAGTCTTTCTTCCACATCCTTTCCTCCCACTTGGGACCTGCACACTGTCAGGTTTAGACATTGAGATTTGAGTACTGTTGAGCAAAACTATCAATATATTCTACCTACTGTTTTTCCTGACTGCACTGTGCAGTGTTAGTACAGTCTCATCAGACGTGGCATCGCAGAAATAGCTGGGGAAAAAATGAACATCTTCCTACCTGAAGCAATCTCAGCTCCCTAGATAAAAAATCTGTGCTATCCTTTCAGCTTCTCAAAGTTACTGTGAAGGCTCAGCAGGCCCCCTTGATTGAGAGACAGTTGGGTTCTCAGGGCAAGCTCTGCACCCTTCATTCAACTCTTCCCACCACCTCTTCTACCAGATATACAGTTTATCACCCAAAAGGCCAGAAGTTCAGGTTTTCATTTTGGCAGAAATGCTTTCCCTTAGGAGTTCCCCTGCCTGTAGCCTCTTTAGACAATGAGGCAATGATTCCACTGCTGTCATTATACTGAATCAGCAAAATGTGCTTAGCAATTCCCCCTTGTTTCATTTTAGCTTTTCCCCCTTTTATTTTTGCTAGCACCTCTTTTGTACCATTTATTGTACTAGCACCTCTAATGCCTTATTATTTTATTAGGAGCAATTCAGGTTTCACAGCAGATATCTCTTGATTGATCCTTTTTGGCTTTCTTTTCTCTTTTAACCAACCCTCTCTCTCATTGATGTCTAAGGGATTGCTGCTGCTCTGTGAAATTGGACGCTGCTCCCTCCTCCAACCCTTGACCCACAGCAGTCATGAAATGTAATTAATGAAATGAGATGAGACAGCCCTGAGTGCCCTAAGGGGCAATGGGAACCTGCTGTGGTTACAAAAGTGTATGATTTTAATGCCTCGTGATAAGAGCTAGGACAAACAAAAAGAAATAATTACTATAGAGCAGGTCAGGGAAACTTTCTGCCTTTTATGACCCTTTGTTTCACAGGGTCTTTTCATTCTCCTGCCTTTTTGAGATGGGGAAGACCAGAGGTAAAGTTTAGTGTGGACAATCACAGTGCAAGCAGATTAGTTGTTCAGTATGATGAGACACAATTAACTTAGTTAATTACTTGGCAGACGTAGGCAAAAAAAAAGAAAAAATGTCTTAGAGTATTTCCAGTATGGACTAGGACAAATTTCCTTTGATTTATTTCATAAAAACTGTCTTTCTTTTGTAAAAATGTGCCCCTAACCCCAATCCCAGTGGAATTCCTGAATCACTTATGTGAGCAGACACGGTCCTTTTCCCAGAAAGCTCTTTGAAACTCATCCTAGTGAGGATTAGAGGCTATATGCCTTAACTGACTCATCATGAAGCAAGCCAGTGTAAAGGCCAGGTGATTTTCCTACATGCATATAATTTACTGTAGTCTAAGTTAATTATAAAGTACTGTTAAAGTATTTTACAATAGTGCCGTTAGACTAAATAATATACCAATGCAACCAAAAAATGGTCTATAGCAAAGCTTTGATGCTCAGGACTGTGATCCTCCAAAGATTTAAGTGTATTCTTAGCTACAGCCCATGACCCTATTTAGGTGAGTTTCCCATAATGCATAAAGTTACATGGGTGCAAAAGTCTGCAAAAACGAAAAGGGTGAGAGGCAATAGTAACATGCAACAAATGAACAGTATGACACACACTTCCTATTCATCTCATGGTTCTCTGGGGAAAGTCCTACCATAGCAATCCGGTTGTTGTCTCATTGGGCTTTTTGTGGGCATCTTAATAGAGACAAGCTTGAGGAAAATACTGCAGTGAACTGGTGGCAGAGAAATCCTTGCATGCATCATCCCTGGGAAAAGGGTCTCCCGTTGTTGTTGAGAAGCTGACTAATCCCTACAAAATAAAAATAAGCACACCAAAAAAAAAAAAGGATAACAATAAAAGCTGTACCTCTCTGACATGTGACTGAGCATTCAAACCCTGATTCTCTTTCTTTCTTTCTTTCTTTTTCTTTTTTTTTCTTTTTATTTTACCTGTCAGTTTAATAGCCTACACAGAGCAGTATGTGGAATATGACCCTTTTATAACTCCTGCTGAGCCTTCCAATCCCTGGATAAGTGATGATGTAGCATTGTGGGACATTGAAATGAGGTAAAAAGTAATCAGTAGCCTTAACTAATGTTAGAGTTTTCTTGCCATTTTGTTTGTATGCTCTTCACACTGCCCTGTTTGGAAAGGTAGTTGTATGTCTGTATCTTTAAAAGATTCAAGTACATAGCTAAAGTTTATCATTTGTGTTTGTGAATTGTTCAGCCCTTCCACTTCCATATGGCTTGAGGTATGGCACTCTGTAAGTCAGGTAACGGATGTTCTCATACCTCTCAAGAACACACACACTTTCAGGTCTAGGAGCCTACAGCTACAGGATACTGCTAAGATATACTTGTTCCAGCACAACTCCTTTGATGCTTGAGAGCCTGCTCTCTGCTCCTCACCAGCTGCAATGCTCCAGCCCTGCTTGTGTCTTGGAATCCCATGAAAGGTGCTGCTGGCAGAATAGGATGGGTTAGAGGGCAATGGCCATTCCTGCTTTGCTGAAGTGGATTTGGCACAGGAGCCAGAGGAATGTAGCTCACACGTAATGTGTGAGACTTGGCAGGTCAGAATTCTAGTAGATTGATAAAGTGACTCTGTTCTCATGTTGGTGAACAAGCTGGTTTGTCTCTGGTATGGTGTCTAATAGGTGGAAAGGAGGAGGAATGATTGTAGGACTTTCAATGCCCTGCACCTCAGAGAGTTTCTCCAAAAAAACCCCCAAGCACAGCACTGCAATGGAGATCATATTTTACCCAATTGATGCTGGTGCAAGGGAAGTCTGGCCTGTGTCTACATCTCTTGCCATCATACACTATCCACAGCCCTCATAGAGGGGCAAAAATTTTCCTGCCTGCCATGCAAGTCGCACAGCAGGTTTGAATGGAATCACCATGCCCCATATCACCTTCAGTACTCAATCACATCCTGTGGCCAACTACTGCATTGGCTCAGCAGCTTCTCCTAGTGTTTAGCTGCTGCCATTTGGCACCGAATCTGAACAGGGAGTTCACTTTAGCTAATATTTGATAAGACAATGCTAAATCTAATCCTATCTGTTCTTGAATAATAATTTAAAGTTAGAGATAGTATTGCTCCAAGAAAGCCAATTCATAGGAAGGAAAGGGGAAGTTTTTTCCCTTTTTAAAAATCACGTGGTCTGGGACGTGAAAGATGCTTTCACCTGCTTCTCTGGTAGTCACAGAAATCCATTAGTTCCCTAACCTCTGGCCCTCTTCACATAATTTTAATATTTAGGATTTCTCTTTTAGTTAGTTTCTCTCATTTTCTCCATCCTCCCTAGTAGGGCTAGTACCAGATACAGCCCTTGCAAAATACTGCTCTGCAGAAACCCTCACCCACAAAGTAATCCAGGCATCCATTATTTCTGCGTCTGTTGAGATAGCTGTAAATCCCAGAAAAGATGTCTGTGTCCCTGAAGAATACAATTAACCTGATGTCACAGCCTTTATAGGAATTTAAAATAAATGCTTGGTTTCTGCTGTGATTTCAGAGTTAAGGAAGGTGATTCTCCTGCCGATGAAAAAGAGAAAGTTGTATTGTTAGGAGATGGAAGAACAAACAGCTCTGTATTTCCATTTTATTCTCTATTGTAAGAGAACTCCCTGCATCTGCATCTAGTTGCAACTTGCATGAATAATTAAATGATCTCCGAGATCCCCTTGTGTTGCCTGCAAAGCTGTTTCCTCAGTTAGAAGAGCAGAGCCCTTGCACAGGAAAACAAAGAGCCTCTCACTTCTGATGGTAAGGCTGGCTGCTGAGTATGGGCAGCCCTGTGCCACTACAGTTCATCCTTCATGGCAATCGGGACTTGGGAAATGACACAGAAAGCATTCAATTTTAGACAGCACTTTGGCTTTTTTTTTTTTTTGTGCTAGAACATTGTGCAGCATCAAGAAGAACAGCTACAGATCTCTGGATTCAGCAAGAAATTCCCTGAGCTTAGCTTATGCGTGGCTCTGCACAAACATAGCTTTTGTGTCCCAATGCTCAGGCTGGCTCACTTAACAGGTAGGCTAAGGCATCTGCACCCTTGTCTGCAGCACTGCTGGCTCCTGGGTGAGTGCAGGAGGAGCCATCCGGAGTGTGCTGCACTTTGTGTGAGGAAATGCCTATCGATTTTGCTTAGCCTTTACACCAAGAGGAAATCAAAGCAGGCATTTTATTTACCCCTTTGGCTTGTTTGTCTTCAGCACAGATCGCCACTGTCCCCTAAGGCTCCAGGATTAGGAATCGCTGTGGACATGACGAGACATGCAGTTTAATAGATATGTACTGTTAACAATGGCTCTACTGTCACAAACGTGAGCAGCTGAGCTGTATTTTAATGGTTGTCTCATAGTATGACGCCATCACACCAGAAGCTTTCAAACACTTTGTGAGCCCAGATTACGCTCTGATGCGGACTGTCTTTTAGGATCCTCATTGTGGTTCCCATGCACCACCTCTCCCCATAGGTGTCTCTGCAACGTCTGGCAATTCAAACAACAGCTTATGTAAGTTGGTGTTAGTGAAACTAGTGAAACCTTAGAGAAAGGTTGTTAGTGATTTTGGGTGCCTCTGCATCTCAGTGTCCCAGATGAGACACTGATTATTGTGGAGAGTAGGAGGAAGATACTTTTTAGGCTTCCAAGACTTAGGCATGCAAAAATCAGAGGCACTGAAAAATAAAAGACCACAAACCAGTAATCATTTTTAGAAATCTTGTCTGCGCTGCTTCTTAGTGAAAGTGCTTTTTTAATGCAAATGGGGATCTGAAAATCTGAAGCCAGTTCCAAGTGACCAGCCAGCACTGTGTGGGACACAAGGAGATGATTTGGAGCTCACCAGTGTCCCAGGGAATACTGCTGGAAAATTTCTGCCTTGGCATATGAGAAATCCTAAGGTACATTTGAGGACATATGCAAGCAGTGCATAATGAATAATCATTTGAGTATGGTATGCTGTTCTTTGCATGAAACCTACCAGAAGTTACTCTGAAAATCAAGTAATTCACTGTCTCTCTTATGTATGTAGCTATGTATGTAGCACCCAGATAGTACAGTTGCTTTAATGATGACCCTGGTCTTTAAAACTTTGTTATGTTATTTGCTAACTTGTATTTCTGCAAAATCTTGAGAAAAAAACATCATCTCATCTGATAATCTTCCTCCCTTTGCTGCTTAGCAGAAACAACAGCAGCTGCTCAGACAGCAGGCAGAGATGCACATTCCATCTGTTTTTTCCCTTCTCTCTCCAAACAGCAAAGAACCTAGTCAGCAGCGTGTGAAAAGATGGGGTTTCTCCATGGATGAGGTGCTGAAGGATCCAGTAGGACGAGACCAGTTCCTTCGTTTCCTGGAATCAGAATTCAGCTCAGAAAACCTGAGGTGAAACCTTTTTTGACTTGAACTAAATGAATGCAACTGATGCTACTCTTTTGCATAGGTGAAGTGCAGTGTTTGGTCTATCTTGAACTGCTAAAAACACCCATTTGAATAAAGTTGAAAATGGTAGGATTTGGCCCATAGCACTGCTACAGATGCCTATACTAGACCTATGTAAGTAATCTCAGAAGCAGTTTTTAGCAGAGCCAGTGTTGTCAGGTATCATATGCAAAGGTTTGCAAAGTTGAAATAATGTGATGAGACACAGCATATAGCTATTAAGCCTCCTAACAATATATAGGATTTACATGTGTATTTGTGGCAACAGCTGTGTGAGGGAAACAGTATAGTGATCATGTGGCTAAGCACTGTTGCAGTACTGGCACTGACTAACAGCTTTGCAACAACTACTTTTAATTCCGGCACCTCCTAACTATTCGAGAGCTTGACTCACCTTAATAGCATTTGGCCTATGTGGGGATTCTGAGCATCTGACTTCTCAAGTTATGAAAAAGACAAAACTTTTATTATGAAACATTATGTAGACACCCTTGTGATACTACATCAGACTGAGAGTCTACAACTCTTGTGCGCAATTCTGCTGCTTTAACTACAGCAGGAATAAACAGCAGTAGTAAGTTGCCATTAACCAACACTAGATGAAGATAAAACCTTTCCTGTAAAATCCAGGCCCTCTGACCTTGTCCATAACTCCAAGATAAAGTCCCATTGCAGAACTGATGAAAAGACATTGAAAGTTGACAACAGCATGCTTCATTCTGAGGTAGCAATCCTTCAGAGAATGCCTGTCTCTTCTGCCCTTCCAGCTGCAAAACTAAGTGCTAAACACAGCTCCTTAGGATTCATTAGTCACCCTACATACCCCAGAACTAATGTATTAAACCATTTCCCCTTACTGATACCAAGTATCTTCTCACACTGACAGAAAAAGAGAGTTCTAGCTAGATATCCCCCATAGACCCTAAACTAAACTCATAGCCATGCTTACATAGCAAGGATCAGTCCCCTTCGTGTCCTAGCATTAATCAGTATACAGTCACAGGTTTAATCATCCTTGTCTTGAATCTTAACTCTAATTCCAAGCCTAACCCTGAAGTTAATTTTAGGGAAAGCAGCTCTTCTGCTGTGGAGAGCTAACGTATCGTTGTATCCTGCAGATACAACCAAGCTGCACCAAGTCCCATAACAGCAGAAGCACATGTACAGTGAGCTCTGAGAAATTGAGGTTCCCAGGATTATGTTGAAACGGGACTGCAGCAAACAGTGGGATTCATGTTCAGGATTGGAGGTATTTAAATACTACCTTCAATGCTGGATGCTGCAAAGTCCAAAGAAAATGAGAGACGGCTCATGCCAGCCAGAGAGGCAGCCTGAACAGGTAGAGGTTGATGATACTCAGTGGCTGAGGTTACGGGTCAGACTCTTGCCTGCCTGTGACAAACAGCCCAATTTACTGTAAGGGTGATCTATTTGGGTAGTAGCAGGAAGCTGACAAGCACCAACAGCGGAGCAAGCAAGGGAAAGCTTGAGTTGGTGTCAGCGTGCCACTCTGTGTTTTTGTACTCATGTGTGGGATCCTTAACCTGCTCCTTAACTGAGGTAACAGAGGTCAGAGGCACTTCATGCATTATCTGCAGTAGTTCTCATCTACTCGTTCCCCTGGTTAGTCCTAGAGACACAGAAGGATCCAGCAGTAATGGAATTTGACTGCCCTAGATGTGGCTGTATCCAGTAAAACCCACTTTTTTTATGGAGTCTGAATTATGGTGCAGAGGCTTTGTTGTGGTGCTGTGGTTCTGTCTCAGTATATGGTATAGGGACCTGTTCTTGTGTTTCCTTTGAGGCAGTCCTGTTCCAGAATGCTGAGTGAGCATTGGCAGGGATGGCCAGAGAGCTTTGCAGGTTCACTGGCAGAACTGTGCCTGCTCTTGGGATTTGGAAATCTGCTGTCAACTGAGCATGAAGTCAGTCAACTGACCACTGTATTTATCAGATTTGCCTGTCCAAGGGGAAATACAAAAAGCATGCAAGCAGCAAAACAGTGAAAACTCAATGTACTTTTATATTTATTGTTTTTAAAAACCTGAAAGTTAAACTGTTAGATAAACAAGGGAGTGTTACTAATTACATAAATGAGCTTGAAAGTTTATTGCTGAAAAGGTACTGAACTTGCATATGCTGACTGTACTTATGTACAGTGGTGCTCATTTGCAATTAAATTGTAGTGAAGTGCAAAATTAATATACTGTATTAAAGTACTCCTAAGATGGGTGTTCTGAAATATATCTGGGGTTGTGCCAATGAAATCCAGCAGGTTTATGACTAGTGGGTGTCCTCCACATTCATCCTACTGAAACAAATGGAGAAAGTTTCATTATGAGAAGGCAAACGTACCTCCCTTGGTCAGTCGAAGCTGTTTCTCCTGCTGATGTTCATTCTCTTTGGTTTTGAGATGGCTTGTAGTGAAGGGAGGTGGCAAGTCAGCAGGCTAGCATAGAGAGGTTAAATCCTGCATCCTTTGTGGAAGACATGGGTATCATTCTTAGTTAATATGGGAACTTTGCTATAATTCTTAGGGTATCATTATCATGGTATCATGGTATATCGTTATTATCTAATACTGGATAAGCATTAGCAAGCCTGCTTAAAGCTTTAAATAACAGAATGCAAAGGCAGAAATATTAATGAAGAAAACTAGAATAAGTGGATTGGTAACAGTGGTGCTTGAGAGAAGAAGGTAGCTCTCTGTAGGGTTCAGGTGAAGCAGAGAAAGCTCTTCAATTCTCATTTGGAGTGTGTGGCATAAAGGAAAGCAACTGCTGGATGCTTAAACATGGAAGGAAAATCTAAGTTACTCTCAGCAGCAAGGTTGGTATCTGTCTCACCTAAGTTTACAGCTTGGAAGGATGCACTTTCTTCTGTATTATCCAGGCTATATTTAGAGAGAGACAAGAGAAGCCGAAGAAGAATCAGTGAATCACCTGGGAAGGATTTGTTTCAGTTTTAAGTGGAAGCAAAACTAAAAGGACCTAAATTACACTGTAAAGTGCTTGTCTCTTTTTACCATAAGCCTGGGGAGACTGATTCAATGACAGTGTCTGCATGGTAGACATCTACAGTGAAATGAGATAGTCCCACCAAACTCTGGGAAGCTGTAAGGAGCTTTTTGAGGGCACAGCATCTAGAACCTTGCTAGAAAAATGACATTTGTAGTTAATCTTTTAAGGAGTCTTGCCCCAGTAACTATCCAGAGATCTGGGAACTTTTGCAGCCAGGTTGTATTATCTCTTGGGAGTGTCAGTAGGATCTTCATTAGCGCTGGCCGGAGCCCTATAGACCAGAGCCTGTGTTTAACTTAAGGCACATGAGAAAACCTGGAAATTCCTGGTAGCACTAGAAAAGACTTCATGAAGTGTGTGCTTGAGAATGCCTTGAAATGAATGTAATTCAGTAGTATAGCAAGAGGACCAAATTCTGCTCTTATACCCAGTGGTGCAAGTCCCAAATCACAGGGCTGATCGTGGTGGGGTATTTCCATATTTTCCTAGCTGAGAAAAATTGGTCCCAGTGGGGGTCTCGGGTGAGGCACTGCCAGATATAGCAGCAGACCAGACTCAATGACCTCCCAGATCTTCTTCCAACTGTGTTTCTGTGTTCTAATAAACTTGCAGGATCATGTCCACCAGTCTCCTGGGCTCGACTGAGCCCTGCAACTTACTTATTTACTGGCTGCCCATTATTTATGGGAGAGCAGGAAAGCCAGTCAGTTGGATATTTTTCTCTCTGTTTTTATTTTAACTCTTTTCCTTTCTCTCTTTTATATCTCGTCTCAGTTGCTGTCTTTCATCTACAATTTGTTTTGACTTTGCTGATTTTTGAAGTACCCAAAATATAGCAGACAAAATTCTGCTTCAATTAAAAAGAAGGAAAGGAAAGGGAAAGGAAAAGGGAAAGGAAAGGCATCAGAGAGTTATTATACATTTTTTATGACCTAGGAATCTCCTGGGACATCTTGAGATTTCTGAGATGTTCATCTAACTGATGGATTGATTTCCCCTCCCCCCCCCCGCAACTTCAAAGAGTGTCAGCTGGAAAGAGACACAGCAAAGTGGGAATATCAGAAATGGGAGTTTCACCCAAAGGAAAAGGAGGCTGCACACCTGTTTATAGACCTAAATGGGGAACACATGATGCTTTGTGGGAATGCGCTGTGGAGCTGGTGGTGCATGGATGCAGGGGGTCTGGGCCTTATTGATTGTGAGCATATGTTGAAAAGGGAGTTAGCCAGAATGGAATTTTACCTGCAAGAAAGTGTTTATATCTTACATGACTCATAATGGCTACAACGTGTTGCCAATTACTTTTTTTCCAAGTTTCATCAGGAAGAGAGAGGTTCAGGCAGCGAGGAGAGCTGGTGTATTAAGTAAACACACACACGCACACCCCAAGCCCCTAGTTTACTGAACAAAAAGCGTTTCCCGGGCAGTTTCCAGGCACTGCCCAAGCTCCCGGAGCGGCTCTGCGGTGCCGGTGCCGGGGCAGTGCCGTGGCCGGGCGGGTCCCCCTGTCCAGCAGGCGGCGCCACAGCTCCGCCGCAGGGCCGCGCCGGGGGCCGCGGGGATGGAGCGCGGGGCGGCCTCACGCCGGGCCCGGGGCTCAGCGGGAGCGGGTTCGGTCGCCGGCGGGCGGAGGGCGCTGCCCAGATACAGAGAATAAAGGGCTTTCCAGCCACAGAGAACGGACAGGCAGCAGGGCGAGGGACTTGCACTGTGGGTGCTGGGTGCACGGCTTGGGAGAGGAGAGCAGAGCACAGCACAACACAGCACAGCAGAGCAGGGGAGGAAGGACGGTGAGGGGGAGGCCTGCGGGACGCTTGCCCCCGCCCCCACCGACACTGCGGCCTCCTCGGAGAGTCTCCTGTGACCCAGCACACAACCTCGCAGCAGCCCTGCGCCCCCAGCTTGCCCACCAAGGACAGATTTCTGCTGGTCTTGGCCACGCCAGGCTCACCGTACCAAGGATCTGGCTGTTAAACAACAAAAAGATGTGAATATTTGTCCCTGTCTGAGCTGCATGTAGATTTATACCTATTATTTTCATTTATTTCCCATCCCGACTGAGATGTTCAAAAGATACTTCTCTTGGTGAATGAAGTGAGAACAAGGTTTGTGAATGGCTAGAGGTGCAAGACACGGGAAGTGCACCAGATACTGACATGGAGCTGCTGAGGCAATGAGAGGTGTGAGCTCAGATTCCAGCCACCTACTGAAGACTTGGTGATTTCACTGTCAAGCCAGAGGGACCATGTCCTCCCCCAAGAAGGGGATACAATACTGCCCTTATCTTGTCAGTTGTTCCTCAGTCTCTGGAGTCATCCATATTTTGCCTCTTGATCAGGTTTTAAAATTAATTGTTTTAAAACATACCTTCCCTGTCTTGCCCCAGCAGTCTTTTCACTGAGGGACATCTGTGAACAGCAGTGACCAAGCACTCTACAGTGCCCTGCTGGGAGGCAGAGCAGGTGTACTGAGGTTCAGGATCTCTCTGTGCCTTAAGGGAGCTGTGGAGGATAAAGTGCCACTATGAGATATCTTCTGCAAGTGATAGCAGTTTAATTACAAGCTGGATGCGGCTGGAATGGTTTATGCCACTGACAACACTAGGACATCATATTATCAGCCTTTGCCAGACCTTACATGCTGTTTTATAAAGGATGAAGAACATGTGATCAATGCTGCTGTTCCCTCTGTGCAGACAGTCCCTGTGCCAGTCCTTCTCTGCTTATAGAGCACCTGCGGAGAGGACACACAAGGACATCTCAATCCTCCCCTGCCCTGTGCAAGAGGTGTCTACTGGAAATCTGTCTCCTACAGAAGGGGAGGAGGCAATGCAGGATCTTCCGACTCCTTGTGAATTTGGGGTTGGGCTTGCACTTCAGAAATTGCAGAAGTGATTCAGGGAGTGCATTTGCACTTTATAATTGAGCAGAAATTCCAGCGCAGTCATTGTGTATCTGCTCATTTCCTGGACAGAAGTACCTGGTTCTCTCTTTTAAATGCTGTAAATCCCATAGGGAGCCCTGCTCTTATGCATTGGCTTCAGCATGTATCCTTATGGCAGAGAATTTGCCTCAGAGTTGAAGCTGTGGGACTGGGTACCCCTCTTTGATGTTCCTTGATTTTCAGATGCCAGCTGTAGTGAATAGCTTTGAAATTTTTACCAAGACAAAACTCCCCTTTGCCTTGAAGAGAACATCCAGCCTTGGGCATGAACTCACAATTGCTTGCAGTAAAAAGAGCTTGTTCTTGTTACTGTCAGGTTGGTCTGGTTGGTTGGTTTTCAGATTGAGCCAAATGGTTATTAAAATGGATGGTGCTCCTGTTCTGGCAAGCTGTCACTTCACAGCGTTCCCAGTTCTCTCACGAGTGTGCTTTCCCAGCCCGCCTTCCTAGGGGCAGAAGATAAGCCAGCAGAAAACATTGTCTATAGCCAAATGTTTGTCTGAAGTGTCCCAGCTACTCTGCAATGATTAGCATCTTTTCTCCTATGCCTTTTCTACATTCACATGTTCCCATTGCATCTGAAATTGAATGATAAAATATTTTCAAGTAACAGAAGCCACATATGGCATCAGATTATTGCAGTGTGAGTGCTAGTCTTTACTCTCGGCATGCATGTGATAAGTGGGGTGTCACAGTTCAAATAACAAGGCAGGACACCAGGTGCACTTAACATCTCATAGATGGAAAAGGACCAACCATGCACACACCTGCACCAACCCCAAATACTCTGTTTCAGTTCATAAAACCAAATATCACTATGTGAGCACCACAAGTACATGACTCCACAGTACTGACACCGCATCTGAGTGCACCCCAGTCCGTTTTACTGACAGCCTGCCAGGGAGATGGGAAAACCGTATGAAGGAATTGGCTTGGGTGGGTCAGGGCTGTGACATTAGGCCTTCTTATGGTAGGGGAGAAGCAGCAGACAGGCAAGGAGGATTTAGCCTGGCCTTGCATGCAGTGTGGATGTCTTTTTTTCCCCAATCGACTGTTTCCCTCTACTGCATGTAGGTGACCAGACTAAATGGGTTCGTTGCAGAGAAGTCACAAGGCTGCTGGCTTCTCCACCTACCCTCACTGCCATCAGGGTTTTTGTTTGGGACAGTCTTCCTCCTTCCACCATGGAGGAACATTTGCCTTAGTGGCAGCACGCTGGCACCATTGAATCATTCGGGGTGAGAAATCAGGATTTCAGTGAAAGTTCAACTGGTTTATAAGGGAGACACAGGATTTTCTAAGTTGTGCAGCTCTTGCAGGTGCCCTGAACAAGCAGTGACCCAGACAAACCCTGTCCCTGCCGCACAGTGTGCCAAGCAGAGGTGAGTGCATAAGAGCAGTGCAGGGTAGTGGCAGCCAAGGTGAACCCTGCCCTTGTCATCCCTGGACAATGGGCTTCTTTGCCAGGGGCTAGGAAAGAGCTGGTTATTGCAGGTGGCTGCAAAGGTCCCTTCTGTACCTATTTGCCCTGTAGCCCTCAGCACTCCCTCCAGAGCACTATTGTACCTGTTCAGCCCGGTTGTAGGACCTCAGTACCCACGGCAGATAACCCCCAGGGATACCTTCTTGCTGGAAGATAGAGTTAACCAAAGCAAAATGCTGCTGGGTACCATGCATCTTCTGAATTAATCATCTGAAAGAGCATATTTCTGTCAACAATAAATAAAATTAGCATTGCCAACAAAATGCCTTTTCTTTTTCCTAGGGTAAAAGACATGCATGTCATTCTTGCAAAAATATTCTCTGGCCTTTGGTTTCACAGATCAAGATGTGGATTATGCCCTTAGCCATGAAAGAGATTATCTTCTCAATGTTTATGAATTCATTTTAGTCCATAAGCATGGCCTAGTCAAGAAAATTGGAGTATGGCCATAACAAGATTCATCTATGGGTCCCTTCCAACTCAGCATATTCTGTGATTCTCTGATCTCTTCCCATGGCATCCATCTGAATGCTGGTCAGTTTACGAGTAATATATTAAAAAAAAAGGTTTCTCTAAGTGTCATTGCTACAACTTCACATTGGAAATGATACAAATATTAAGTTTGGTTTGCATTTTGCATCCCCTCTGGATGACTGATCCTGCAGGCAGGAATGACCAGCACATTGGCACATTGCCATGGGGCTGTGGGAGGCAGAGCCTGCTCCCCTACTCCACCTGCATGGCTCTGGAGGCTTCCTGTTTGCATAACTAATCTGACACTTCTGCAGGAGCACTTTGAATAAGAATGTATCACATCTTAAAGTGTAAAGTACACCACACTTTCTCCCTGAAATCATGCTAAATGGAGAGTCTTCTGTGAATTCTGATAGATGTGAGATTAGGTTCTGTGTCTGTATTTTGGGACTCTGCCCAGGCTTATTCACAATGTCTTACCTAGCTTTCTATCTTTTTCTCTTTTCTGCCCTTTTAATTTTTGCCTAGTACAGGTTTTGGTTGGCTGTCCAAGATCTCAAGAAACAACCTCTACAGGATGTAACCACCAGAGTGGAAGAAATCTGGCAAGAGTTTCTAGCTCCTGGGGCCCAAAGTGCTATCAACCTGGATTCCCACAGCTATGAGAAAACAAGCCAAAATGTCAAAGACCCAGGGAGATATACATATGAAGATGCACAGGTTTGATTTTGGTTTTATAGAACTACTCTCATTTTTACTGTGATATTCCACTATCACATTGTCACTGCTCACTTGTAAGTAAAGGAGATGCACAGTTTGAAGTGACTTTGAGGATATCTATTCAAGCTGGGTAAATGATATTTTCGTTGAATCTATCTGTTACAACAGGCTAATGCTCCTCTGGGAACAAATGTTCCAAAATCTACAAGTCTGCAAGGCACTACAAGCTGGAGCTATGTCTCAGAAAAAGCATAGATGAAAGAGTGCTATAAAGTTCAGTTTGTGTCTCTGTACTCCCTGTCACCAAATTCAGACATATTTACAGAATGCCTGATATCATATCAAAATCCTGGCTAATACTCTTTTTCTATCATTTATTTACTTATAGATAATTATATTCCCCCATCAAATCCCAAATGCAGCAGCTCCCTCCAACACAGCAAGAAATTTGTCCACCAGACAATGCCTTAGAGTAATGATAGGACAGTAGGCAACATAGTGTGCTTAATCCTTCCCTCCTAAGGGCCCCAGATTTTTCAGGGAAATTTTACAGATAAACCGTACAGGGAAAATGCCTTTAGGAAAATAGATAATTTGAAAAAAACTGTTACAAGCAAGGATAAAGCTGCATAACCTTCTGAGAAAGTGAAAATACAATTTTGTAATTGTTATAAAAGAAAAAGGAAGAAGAGATCATTTGACAAATATTACCAGGGACACACATAAAAGATATCTTCCTCATAATCATTTTTTTCAAAGCATGTAGTAAAACTAACAGCAAATGAAAAGAATTTATGTTCTGTTTTTTGGGGATTTTTTAATTGGCATTCAAAGGCAGTTCTTCAAAATACTCCACTAACAAAATATTTCCATCTCAGGGGAGATGTTGTGGACCACTTATACAAGGTTAGGCAATGAATTTTTCAAACCAGCATCATTTACTGTATTTTCCTGAATGCAGTCTTGTTCCTTGGGGCCAGAATAGAAGGAATGTACGCAAAGTTTCAAGGAGATCCCCTGTGAATATCAAGCAACTTAAATGTCCTTTTTAAGCTGAGAAATACAGGAGTATGAAAACATTCTGGCTAAGATGTATTCTTTGCTTGGCAGTATAATGAGCAAGAACTCCTTACAACACCTGAAAAAAATAATGATGGCAAAATGCAGGGTTGAGCAGATAGGTGAATAATGGGGGAACTGATTAAATTGGTAAGTCGAAGTACTAAGAGTAAGAAGGATATTTAGACAATGAGTATTTAGTTAAAAGAAGACACAGAGCATTTAGGCTTGAACTGATCAGTTCACAATGTAATTGCCATTCAAAGGGAAGTTGATAAAATCAAGTTGGAGCCCTTGCAGTTAAACTGCAATTTTAGATCCTTGGGTAAATTTTATTTCAGGGGATTTTTATGCTGACAGATGTCCTCAATTCATTTGTTGTGGTTCACGGACACAGAAGTATGAGGCAAAGGTAGACCTTCAGACCCAGCTGTGGTCATCTTGGAGACTTGAGTCTATGCCAAGAGAGGGTAGCACAATGGAAGGTGAGCCCAGTTACCTTCATGTGCAGTGGACTTCTCCAAGGGTAACTCTCCAAGGGCCAAGCAAGCTGTTTGTGACTGCTTGATCAGATAGCTGAGAAAATCTGTCTAACAAAAGCAGGAAGAAGCAGGACACTGCTGAAGGATGTAGTGCCCTGACAGAGCTGAAGCAATATGGACTTTTACTGGCTCATCCAGGAGAGGTTACAATTTTTTTTGCACATCCACTTCATGGGACCCAATGTAGGTCACCCCAGCGCACTCTAAATCTCCCAGATACTGTCCTGGTGTCTCCCCCAGCTCACCCCTGCCACCTTGGAGGTTCTTGTCTACTTGGAGGCTCTTGTCTACAAATCTGCAGCAGCTGCCTTATCTTGGCAACCTGGCACCAGGAGCCCATGGGAGCTCCCACACATCCCACATTCCTAGGGGCTCAATCAGACACAACCAGTCAAAACACTCCCAGTTGGAGAGAAAATGAGTGTTGTCCTGTCCTATGTAGCTTTAGCACAAAGAGGAAAACAACTGAAATGTCGTTGTAAATAAAGAACAAGAAAAAATTTAGTCTACTCAACAGAACATTCTTTGAATGCCTGCGACTCTGAGACACTAAGAGGAAAGAAAAATGTTAGCTGAACTAAAAAAAATAAATTGTTACTCCTGCAGTGAAAAAATAGTAGAAGGTGATGTAGCACTGCAGTCCTCATTTGAGAGACCACAAAATGCCAGTTCTGTATAAAAAGGTCTGGAAATGAACACATTGTTGTCCTTGGGAAGGAGAAGGTGTAGCAGAGCACATTGAGGTGAGCAAATGCATTATCACAGTAAGTTGAAAACAAAGAATTGTCTGTTATCAGGTGCTTTATCATTGTGCCTTTCCATGAAAGATTTACATTGTGTTTCCAGCTACGTCTACATGGATGTGCTTCTTTGCACAACCTTGGCTGCAAGCCCCAAAAAGCTCTCCCAGATGCTGTTCAACCATCTGGTAAGACAAGTAGTGAGAAGAAAACAGGGAGAAAAGGGGGCTCCAGAAAACATGCCTCTCACTTCAAACCTCTTTGTCCCCAGGCCACTAATGGTCTGAAAGCAAATGGTTCCTCTGTTTAAGAAAATCTCATCTCCAAATCTCAGTCCTCAAAGGGCTCCTAATCCAAACCTGAATTTGATATGCATTTATTATCTCAAACAGACCTCTAAGATGGATTCTTGTACCACAGAAGCAAGTGTTTATTTTGCCATTTCCCCATCTCAGCTTAAGATACTTGCCCTGCTGTGAGTCCCTCACTGCTGCTGCACTCTGCAGTCCTGCACCAGGTCTGTGCTTGCACAGAACTGTCCCTCTTGCTGTGTCTCCCACATGTGGCATTGCCCATCCCGTGCCCCGCTCAAGCCGTGCCAACACGCCTGGGCTCTGAGCATAGCATGCTGTACTGACTCAACCTGCACTCACCTCCCCCCAGCTCTCCAGTTTGTTGGCATCCCCGATCCTCAAGCAGCACAGCACAGCTCCTAGCTCTGTCCTGATCATCAGCTCTGCCAGCTCTCTTGATCTGCAGCACCTTTTGTCATTTTAGTGCTGGGCCCCTCCAGAGGGGAGCCTACCAATTTAGCTGATTATTTTCTGCTCTTAAACAACTGTCCTCTGAGTAAAATATTATGATTATCAAACCATTTTCACTGGGGAGTAAAGCAGCTTTTAATACAAGGGGCACCGTCAGGAAAGGTCAGTTCAATTAAACACTGAAGTACTTAGCAAGATGTAAGCTCCCACAGGAGTTATCAGCATCAGTGAACAACCAATGTGGGGACCCGCAATATGAAACAGGCACTGCCAGCTCTGGAAAGTAAATAGGTTTGGGTCCATCTGAATGGCCTCTTTTGGCTAATGAAGCTGCTGACAGCCAAAGTAATTAATCTTTAACATGGAAACATAGAGCTGTGAGTGTGACAATTGTGGCTTATCTGTACAACATGTTATTAGTTTTTTAGCCATTCTCCCTGTACCCCCATCAAACATCTCCATGCCTCCCCTGAAATGTCTTTCTGCCTTCAGAAAGTCTTTAATCCTTTCCTCAGTCCCTTGGTGTTGAGAGCTAGTATCACAAGAATGCATTATGTCTCCTCATAGTAATGTTTTTTGGGACATTTAGTCTGCGTTTATTGGTAGGCTTCAGACCCAGGTACTGTCAAGTAAGGTAAGTTGTCTTTGGACTGCTTTCCTGTTTTCTTTGTTTATTTTTATTCTTTAATAAATAAAATAGTTTTAGATTGACATTCCTTTACATGAACTAATCAGCTAAGATGATGCAGAGAAATTCAGTTCTAATCAAGGCTCAGTTAGGGATTTTAACTGTACTTTGCAGATCCTTGGCTAATTCCAGAACAAATTTAGACTATAATGCCAAACTGCAGACAGCTTAAACCAGAAATTTACCTGTCCCAGATATTAATCATGGAATAATTTGGGTTGGAATGCACCTTTAAAATTCATCTAGTCCAACTCCCTGCAATGAGCAGAGACATCTTCAACTACTTCAAGTTGCTCAGAGTCCAACCTGACCTTGAATGTTTCCAGGGTACGGGGCATCCACCACCTCTCTGGACAACTTGTTCCAGTGTTTCACTACCTTCATTGTAAAAAATTTCTTCCTTAAACTTAATCTGAGATTTGAGATTTGGGCCCAGTTCATGCTCTCAGCTGTCCCTGGTGTTGGTTCAGTTTTTTCTGGACTGTGATAGAGATACGAGTCCTTGCAGGATTCATCAGTGAGCAGTCATCATCTCGCATTCTGGTTTGGTCAGGAAGCTGGGAGTGTTGACAGAACTTGACAGGATCCTGTTGAATTCAAAACCAAACTCCAGGTTTAAGCAAAGATCTCTTGGAAGTGGAATGTCATTTTCTACCAAGAAGGGAAGATGAGGGGTGACTTTTCTTCTCCTGACTTTGTCTTTTCAAGCGTGCACAGGATGTGAAAGCAAGCATGTAGAGTAGTGTGTGTCTGGTGCCTATTCAGTAGGCATACAGAACTCTTTGTAAGTCTTGAGCAAAATAACAGCATGGAAGGAAAATGTGGAAATAATCGTTCATTGTGTGTCTGTATCATCTTTCATTAAGAACTTGACGAAACATTATTCCTATTTTCTTAAAGTTTCACCCAGTCACCCCAGTTACATGCACGCCTGTAAAGGATGGTGACTAAGCGTGGAGAATCAGGATAACAGCAAAGCAGCTCCAGTGGGCAGTGCAGGCAGCCAGCAAGGAGGTATGGGGCAGCCCCAGGTGCTCTTCCTGGAAAGGGGGCTCAAGTCCACCTGAGCCAGTGCTGCTCAGTGCTGCTGGCACCTGCGCTACAGGGAATTGAAAGCACTGCTGCACTGCATCAGTATTTATACGTGGATGGTGTGCCCAGGGTTCCTGGAAGCTTCTGACATCCTGGACCTTCCTGTGGAGGTTAG